TGCCATTGAAACATAAATGGGGTATGGAAACGTTCAAGCTTTTTTTTTCTTTTTGCAGTATAGATAAGCTTTGTTTTGTAAATGCACAAGTCCAGTCATTGAATCAACTTAATTTTTTTATGTATTTGAAATCATTTTATTACTCTTTAACACTCATGCTGAAGTACTGATATTTTGTTGAAATCCATTGTTTTACTCTTTGCATATTTGTTGGCTCTTTGCATATTAATATATTAGACTACATGCAAATACAGTCTGTCTTGCCATTGTCTGTTGAAGTGCAGGTTTGATCCAGCCAGTATAGAACTAGCTCTGTAGGGGTGAGGAGGACTGTGCTGTGTATCATCCTTGATTGTGTTCCTTCAAGGAGCATTGCACTGTAAGTACATCAGAATGACAAATTGATGAACTGCAACAGTATCTTTTTGTCAATGTTCCACATAATGCAAATGCCATAGTTTGTTTGAATATTATGTTGGAATACAGTGCTGATATCTTGGAAAACCATAACTGCTTTTTAATTTAACATAGAATAATACATAGTTTTGTATTTTTTTTTAAGTGAGCTTAATGGGTAAGTATTTTTGATGTGCTTTAGCTATAGCTAAAGAAAACTGATCATTAACAAAGTTGAATAATATTACTCACTGGTGCTCCTAAAATATTGTTTTTCAGTGTAAAATATGCATCTTATATATTAATATGAAAGACTTGAAATGTATCAAACAGAAGTGGATTTCAGTTTGCAAATAATGAGCAATGTAGCAGTTTAACACCATTTCATAGATATATATTCTGTCATTGGTGGAGAGCACCATTCGTTGTTTTGAATATATTTTAAAGGAAGATGTACAAGGACATAAATGTTGAGATTGTCTACAGGATGGAAAATACCAGTACAGTTCATTGTAGATAATTTTGAAATGTTTTTGCTTGTTTTATATAACCTAGAGTGACTTCCCTTACCCTTATTTAGATCTGGATATGTAGTTCTAGTTTGAAGGTTAATAGTTAAGGAGTTAGTTATGTTATCTTTAAGAGTAGGGTATTGACATGAACAATTTCAGTATTTTGCATGATACTGTTTTATAGATGATCTTTTTGGAAGTGGTGCATTTATTAATTAAACTGGAGAAATAGTTCAGTTGAATTTCAATATCATAACTCACAAATTGGAGGCTGTTGATTTTGATTCATTTAAGGTTTAAAATCTTTATTAATTGCAAACAGTGCAATTATTTATACTTCACAGTGCCTTCCCAGACCTTCCACCTTAGGTTCTGCTGCAAAAAGCAACAGGTAAGCACAACCTAAGGACATATATAAATAAATATTTCAGTACATTAATGTTGTCCCTGTGAGGTTTTTGTGGTTGTGTATTCAAAAGCAATCTGCTACTGCTTCCCCAAAGTGTATTTTGTTATTTATGCTACCATTTTAGTGGAAAGTCTGTAAGTTGTTCAAGCAACTGTTTACATTTCTGGGTTATGTTTTTTACTTTAGTTGTTTTTTTTTTTTTTTTCCTAAACAAGAAAATGATGAGTAGATTGCTGCTGTAAGTGAACTACATCCAACCAAATATTTTTGTATTTTTCCCCAAATACCAGAAGTGTTATAATTAAGAAAGGACAATTACCCAGTTTTCAAAATTTAGAAAATCACTTGTTCAGAAACTTCAACAGCCTTCACAATCTGTTTATATGATTGACAGAACATTTCTTTGCCCTCCAAAGCTATGACTTCTTTATTTTTTTTCTTATTCTTGAGCTATAGTAATTCAGTAGGAACATTATGGGTCAGAGTTGTATTATGATTTTTTCTTAGATAATTCAGTTTTCATTACTTTTATATATGCTGAAAAAGGAAAAAATTATAAGGAATACTGGCAGTATGTTTTCATAAAAGGCATGTGCATCAGTGAAATGTTAACTGTATAGCAAATAACCTTTCATAATCTGTAGCAACCAATATTTTTCTGATTTAATATTTTAATAACTGACGCTGCATTTATTTTATTTTTTGCCAGTTTAAAATGTTTGTGTGTTTTTATAGATGATTTTAACTGGTACATATTTTGAGTTAAGATGAATGTATTAAAGCAGCATCATATCAGTTTTGTTTATTCGATTTCTAAAATGTGCTGATCCTTGTAAAACTCCTGCTTATCTCTGCAACAAAGAAAAATATTCAAAAATACTGCCTTCATTTTCACACACAGTGCTGAAGATGCTGCAAGCACCAAATCATAGCTCATAAAATCAGGTCCTGAGATAGTTACCCATAAAGAGGAATCCTTTGAGTGTATGCCATTGGTGAGCCGATGAGCATGGACCATAGAAGGGCTCAATGTAGAAGGTAAAATTGGCAAATCATAATTGAGAAATATGAAATGTATTCCCATACATAATATGGTATAGGGTGTAATGTACCTGCTTTTGATCACTTTTCCTTTTAAAGTGCTTTTCACTTTGATCTTAAATGTTCCGTGAACTGTTAAATTTCTTAAGTTATATAGTTACTGCACCACATTTATATATATGTATGTTTTAATAGTCAATGATAGGTATGTAAGATTGATAATATAAAGGGGCTCTTTGAACATTAAGAGCCCATCAGGTTTTGGTTAGTTGTAGTTTGCATTTTATAAAAGAACATATAGATGAATGCTAATAGATATTGGGGCATTGTTTCTATCTCATGAGAATTTTTTATTCATTACCATAAGCCTTCACTGATACTATAAGTGTTATTTTAAATGGCACTAAAGAACCTTGAAATAAATGGAAAGCAGAAAAGGTGAGCCAGTTGATTTGAATGCAGTGGATATTAGTTTAGAACAATGTTTAGTTTAGATTGAAATTGAACTGATTGATTTTCATTTAGCACTTAAAAATTTGACAATATGTTTTTATTTTTCTTTAAGACATCTTAGTGTGGTGATGCTTAGAGTTCTATGGTTTGATGTTTCTTTTAGAAATGAGAAATATAGTTTTTTTTAATTAATGAAAATGGTTTTAATACTAAAACTAGTAATTTGATACTAGTTGTTTATAAACGTTGTAAAATATATCCTTAACTTGGTAGCTAATTCATAGGGTGGGTTTGGGTAGGAGAAGCAGAGTACTTTCAGAGGGAAATAGGACTAATTCAGAAGTGGTACCATTTCATTTGTTTGAATACTCTGCCAGTAGAACCAGTTCTACCTAGAAAGTTACCTGTTGTGTGGAATAATGATAATAGAGTTTATTAATTAATGAGGATGTCTTATTTTTATTTTCTGCAAGTTCTGCCTCATTTTAAAATGCATTTTAACAATACCTAGTTAAAGATAATTTTGACTCTGAAAATAACCTTATTTTTTATTTAGTTAGTGACTTGATTTTTCTTGCCACAATATAAACTTTTAAGGGATTTTTAAATTGGTGCTTTTAAGAAGCAAATGAATCCCAGGGTTTTATTTCCTTCAGTGATACCCCTATAGAAACTCTTAAATGTATTTGTGCATATATATATTTTTTCTTATGCATGCTCGATGCATTTTCGTCCTGAGAAAAATGTTCTCTACAGAAACTACCCGTGTGTTAAAAGAAGATTGGCTTAAAATGGCTACTGTGATGGGAACAGTGTCTTAGGGAGATGCAGCTTGGACTTGAGGTAAATTGAATACTTTACAAACTGTGGTTTAGAGTTTGCTTTAATAACATTGTATGTAAAAGGGCACATGATTGCTGTAATTTTGTATTCATTATGGTTTCCTCAATAAATAAATGTACATTGGTGAATATTATCAGAGTGCTTTGTTTCTTTTATACATGTAATACTCAATAAAAATAATTTTCTACTTTTTACTTGACTTTTTCATTAAAGGTTTGCTGTGAGAAAATACTGGGATGATAAAGAGGTAAACATCTGCACAAGTCTTTAAAATACAAAAAGACTTTTTTAAATACAGAAATGACTTTATTTTGGGTTTACATTGTAAAATAAAATTGTCTTCCAGAAAATTAAAATATAAAACAACTTGATAATAGAATATGGTAGCTAATTATTTACAAACTCATTTTAAAGACTATAAATTGAAGGTTGTGCCATTATTTTCCTAAGTCTAATATGCTTAGATCTTGAAACCTTCAATTATGTTAAGTATTTTCTCCTGTATGATCTATTAATACAAAGTTTTCTCATTAAAATATAATTTGTTCAGGCAAGATCACAACATAAATTTGCTTTATAAATTTGATTATATATTACACACATTTGAAAAAATACATGTTCAATATTTTCAGCACTCAGAACACTGTATAGGCAGTGGGTTCTATCAAATTTTCTCCGGCAATTGTTTCTTTAAAGTCCTACTTAAATTTTGTTTTTCTCCATGGCACTCTCCCCTCCCCCCCCTGCACCGCCCCAAATATATCTGCTCAGAAAGACTTTGGAACTACAACCACCCAAATAATGTGCTACTAAGGAAAAAGCCCACTCATTGACAGGTTCCAAATTCATTGTCTCAGCTATTTCAGACTAATTTTAGGTGTAAAGGCTCATAAATGACATTCTTTCATGCAAAATAACGTACTGGGTTTTTAAAAACATAGTTGCTGTAAATTCTCATGGGAAATACACAGCCTTTAATAAGTTTTGATAAAATAGTTGAGCAAATTTTCCACTGACCTCTCCCCCATTAAATACATTGTTTTGACTGCTACTGTATATACGATGGCAATAAATTTGGTGCTCATTTAGAAAAGAACATATTCTTTAGATGAGCTTGTGTTTTGAAGACTTATGAAAAGGAATAAGAAGTCAACATAGTGGCACTTCTGGTTTCCTTTTTGGCCCCGCCACAGAGAAGATGGATGTAGTAAGAAAGTTGGAGAAAAAGAAAGTTCCAGGGGGAGAAGAGGGAAACTAGTAGTCATCAGCTAGAAAAGAGAAAAAGAAAGGTGATTTTTTTTTTTTAAGGGAAAAAAAACTTAATAGTATGTAAGTTAAAAGAGTGATCAGTTCTTACTTTCAATGGTAAGAATACAGGTACTAGCTGCAGAGCCTTTATTGTTGACTGCTTTACACATATACTCTCCTCCATCTTCTGGGAAAGTTTCTGGTAAGTAAAGGCAGTAAGTTTCTCCCCTTTCAATATATTGGTAGTCTTCTCCATCCTGCAGTATTTCTCCTTCAAACCACCATGTCACTTCTGGTTTGGGTTCTCCTGTTACTTTAACAGTAAACCTAACTGGCTCACTGTCTACAACAGATGTGTTTTTAAGAGGCTTCTTGAACCATGGAGCTCCTAATCTGGTTGGTTCTTCATCTTCAGTAGTGGAGCCATTCATGATGCTACCCTCTTCTTCCTCATCCTCTTCTCTTTTCTGTATTAAAATATATGCATTCAGGTTAGTATTTAAAATACAGTATTTTGGGGGCAGTGGTTTAGTAACAGAATTTTGAAGGTAAAAGTGTTAGAACATGTAAGTATGCTTACTAAAAGTGTACTTAACAACATTCCAGTGACTTTGAAAGCTATTAAAACTTTTTTTTTTTTTTTTTACCCTTCACATAAAACTGGTTTTTAAGAGAACATCTTTGGAAAATAAAGAATATGTAAGCCTGATACCTTTTGTAGTGCTGCATCAATTTCTCTTTGTTCAAATTGCATGCGTAGTAACTTTTGTTCTTCAATTCTTCTTTGTTCTTCTTCTTCTCTTGCCTTAGCCATTTGTTCAAATCTAGCTTTCATATTCACTTTATGAGTAAACGGGGCCTCACTTTTTTTTGCAGGCTTGATATCAACATCTTCTTCCTTCAAGAAAGTGGGCCAAGAATAATAATGGCTTGTTTTCTAAAAACCAAGAACTAAAGTATCAGTAGTTCTGAAAGTAGTATTTGTAAGCACAAAATAAACATGTTTTGATATGCATATTTGTGCTACACTGCAGACATGCATATCTTCACTATTCCCCAATTCAGGAAAAGTGACTGGTATATTTAAGAAGCATTCGTCTAATTACACTCTTTTTCTCCCAATGTAAAGGTAAACTTACTATCACTGGGATCCCAGCCTATTTACCTAACCAATTCAGTACTTGGTTTTGATACTGAATAATAGAAAAAGGTCAGAATACTATATGTTCTTATAATTGTTAAAATACTTTCTTACAAGAGACTCATTACTCTTCACCCTACTACTTAATATGAGAAGTGTTTCTTTTCTATTATTTCTCACTTCATGATTTTCCTTCCTTATCCTTGAGACGAATTCCATCCAAATTTACTGATGGTCAAATGCAGGGGTGGGTGTTTATAGGTAGAAAAACGTGGAGATAATTGAAAAAGGCAATGGTTGGAACATGAAGTCATTAAAGTGAAATATGTGAGTCATTCAGGGATGAGAGTTGGAAGCCATGGAAATAATAAAGGGAGTGATTTAAGAGCAGAGTGTCAATTATCAAATAGAAAAATGCCAATTTGGTAATGATGTCACTGATGACCTTTAAGAGTAATTTTAGTAGAGGTTAACACCATGGTTTCTAAAAGTACTTTCGCTGTAGTTGACTCTTGGTTTCTAATCTACTTTGGCTTTTGTGGCTCTCTGTAAATCTCACCATTTATATATAATACTATGGGGAAGTTGTTTCAGGGTATCCAACTAAAGGGAAATTTTGAAACAAGCTGCAGATTAATTGCCTGTGTAAGAAAAATCTTGGTTCAGGGATGTTTTCACATCCGCTTGAGGGAGTTGCACCTTAATTCCAACTGAAAGGAGCAGAAAGGGGTAAAAGAAAGTTGGGCAGTTTTTCTGGTTCTGAATCAGATTTTTATTTGATGTCTGAAAGATAGACTAAGAAAAATACATGTTAAACAGCAGTTTGATTACTTTTAGCTCAAGTTTTTCTGAGACTTAAAAAACAAGACCTCTTCACACTATACATTTAATTCTATTGTTTATCACATGAACCTTCAAGATAGAATATTTCAACAACTATTATAACAGTCCCTCCCCATTAATAACTTGCCTTCTAGCTATTAGCATAAGTTTATATATGTTTATAACTTCATTTAGCTGCCTCAAACCTGCATTTATAAAATACAAAATTTGGTGCTGGTCACAGTAGCTCACACCTGTAGTCCCGGCTACTTGGGAGAGTGAGGTGGGAGGATATGTTGACCATTGACATTTTCTCAAGTCAGAAACTAGATATATGATCAGATTTGAGGAAGGAGGATTGCTTGTAGGGGTTCAGATTGTGAGGTCCTACAATATAAGTTGATTGCACTGTACCAAAACTATGTGAACATAAGTTTTTAAAGCTATTTCAATGACCTTTAATCCAGGAAGGTATGATAGGAGGGACTTAACGTCCTCCACAGGAATCCATTCAGGACATCCTGAATATAAGAGTTCAGCCATGTCCTAACCTCACATCCATTTACGGGAAAGAGCCAGTAAAAGCAATAAAACGAGGTCACTTAACTACTTCCATTATTCTTAAACCTCGTTTTGTAGGGATAGGTATGACTGCTCTGAGGTTCCACTTTAACCAAAAAGGGAAGCAAGTGCATGCTGACTGAACTGAACTTTCTGTGACACATTTACATCCCTAATCTCAATTGATGTGGCCATCCGTCCACTAAATATTTGTGTTCTCTAGGGTTTTATCATTCACCTTCAAACTATTAACTTTCTGAGTGACTTTTACTTCTATACTTTTAGCTACTATCCATAAAAGTTACAATGATAGCTCTTCTCATCTGAGCTCAAGCCCTGTTTTAGGTCTTTATCCAAATATAGCTCAAACTTTACATGTCCAAAATAATTTATTCACCCCGCCTTTCCAGATATGATTTTTTCTGTAGCTTCACCTGGTTTCCCTGGTAATCCTGAAGTAATGTTAGGTACCTCACCAACCAACTGCCCCAAAAGCAGCCTGTTACCCAGTTTTGTTAAAGTTGGGTGTATTTTTCTCCCTTGGCTCCAACTTCATGCCTTTGTGCTTATCTTCCAGCTCATTATCCATGATCCCAGAATTATTTCATAAACATAAGTTTTTTATTACTCTGCCCTAAAAATATGGTTATTAACATTGTTCCCCAGATCGTAGTTCCTGCAAGGTTAAAATGGCCATTCATCAACTATCCACAACCTACTTTTACAACTTTATATCCTATCACCTGTGAACCTTGCCTTACGCCCTTTGAACCTGTTTTCTTATAGACCTCATCTGTAAAATTAGTATGAATTATCTCTGGAGTTTAACTCAAATACACTGATCTCCCCAATTCACTAAAACATATCCCAATTAATATTTTTGATCCATTTTGCTACAGTGAACCATTTGATGTTCACTATGGGTTTTAACACTAATAAGGGTTGTTTTGAAACTGTTGGAGTGTGGAAGTCTGTCAAAGTCTCTTGAGATCTTGATGTGCTGTTAGTTCCCAGATTACTATATGCACCAGTGGTTAACTGTAAGTATTAAAAGTTACTTCAAAGCCAAATGTTATTTCTATTAAATTCATTATCATTGCTGTACCATAGTATGTTGATTATAAAAGTAATATACCTCATGAAAGTTTTCTGCTTCTCGCTCTTTAATTTCAAGGTCAATTGCTCTCCTTCTTGCTCGTTCTTCCTCTATCTTTTTCTGTATTTCTTTTTCAGACAACTGTCCAATTTTTTCAAACTTGCTTTTTAGATTTTTAGCCTGAATAGAGCCGCTCCTTTTTAATTTGATTAATTCTTCATATTCTTTGCTCAATCCAAAGGTTTCACTTTCTTCCTCTTGCTTCAAAAAAATTATATTTTATATGTTGAATATCAGCAAGTTAGTTTGTATAATGACCATCCAAAAAGTGTGCATTTTTTCCCATTTGAATCCAGAAATAAAGCTTAAGTAATGTCTTCCCTAAATACAAGTAAATACAATTTACTAAGTAAAAGTATTGCTACAGGCCAGGCACGGTGCCTCACACCTGTAATCCTAGCACTCTGGGAGACCAAGGTGGCAGGATCTGTCAAGCTCAGGAGTTCAAGACCAGCCCAGCCTGAGCAAGAGGGAGACCCTCCCCAGTCTCTACTTAAAAAATAGAAAAATTAGCCGGGCACAGTGGCACACACCTTTAGTCCCAGCTACTTGGGAGGCTGAGGCAGGAAGATAGCTGGAGCCCAGGAGTTTGAGGTTGCAGTGAGCCATGACGCCACTGCACTCCACATGGAACGGAAGGGAGACTGTCTCAATAAAATATATATATACACACACACACATACACAGATTTACTTAGAGCTTTAGAAAACATTCCATTTAAAATATTTTCATTAGGGAATATGGCTAAAGTCCTAACATACCATAATAACCTGCTACAACTAAAATATGCATGGCAAGATGAGTTTTTACTATGTTGTAGAAAGATCTTTGTTGGGGAAAGGCAAAGAACACTGGACTAGGAGTCAGATATGAGTTTAGTTCTGGCTCTGATACTGTGTGGTCTTTTGTGTAAACTGCTGGGTATGATTTTCTTCATCTCTAAATAGAGCCAGAGCATCTCTAAAATTTCTCCTGTTTTTGATTTTATGGTAGTCTTATAAAGCTACATTAATATTCAGGGTAACAAGCATTTCTGAAGATACAGTCTGGTAAAATCCCTACATTTCTCTACATAGTACTTTTATCCTCAATTATATATTCTGTACGGAAACATAGAAAAGAAGTCAACCAAGACTGGGCTGCAGTTCTTTATTCCATTTTAATATTGTTCTTTTATTCAGGTTCCCTTTCCCTGACTTTTCACAATTTATTATTAATACTATTCCTTTGTAAGTGACTTTGCTACACTAAATCCTAACCTCACTATGTGAAATGGTAAAATATTGCAGTTATTCCTATTATACTTTTCCTAGAGAAGACCTAGAGTTCTAGGCAGGGTTTAAAAAGGGGGGAATAGGGGTTGTCACAGTCTGTGATGTGACATGAGGCTTAATTTCTTGGCTTATTAACCAAGGGGTAAAAGAGAAAACGTATTCCTTTATACTACTTACACTTTTCAGACTATGTGGCTGAAAATACTCAATAAAATGCCAGAAACTAGCACATTTATGATACACATATCACAATGTTTTCTAAATCATTCTGTTCAAAATTAACCATTGAACTAATAAGCTACAGTGTAGTAATATTGGAATTGCCTTGCTACTTGTCTTGAAAACACCATACATTAGGTTGAGTCATTTAATAGCACCAGAATGTCTTAACAGTTGTATACTGCCCTATATTACCTAGATTATATCTCAATAATACACTAAAATATACACTTTAGAAGTGAGTTTTCGTAGACAATTCATTTTTAGCTTCCTATATAAAATGCCTCTAAATTTTTTGAGGGGCAAGAAGAGGTTAGACCTTGGAATGTTCTCCTACAGCATTTTCATGGTATTTTATTCATGTATTTATATGGCATTTATATTCTCTGGGCCAGCTAGATAATTTGCCAGCCACAGCCAGGGCAGAGAAGTAAAACTCCCCTTCCCACAGGCCCACTGCCCCAACCATGACAAACGGGCAACTTCCAAGAGATTGCAGCCTATGCATAGGGATCCCATCCACAGAGTTCTTAGAAGTTTGTAAGAGGACCCCACCAAGTCACCTACCAGTCTGAGGCTGGGACAGTTGCTGCTTACTTTGCCCCAAGTCATCGGGCTGAGTGCTGGACCCTAACCCTTTCAGTGCACATGGCCTTGTCCCCTGCAAGGCAGGAGTAAAGACAGGTCCTTTATTTTTTTTTTTTTTTTTTGAGACAGAGTCTTGCTCTGTCACCGCCACGCTGCGAGAGCTGCATGGATCATCATAGCTCCCACAACCTCAAACTCTCGGGTAAGGATTTTCCTGCCGCACACTATCTAACGTACGAAATGGGACTACACGGTATGCGGGTTCACCATGCCACTATATTTTTTTTCTATCTTTAAGTTTAAAAAAAAAAAACAGTCCCCCCGCCTCCCTGTTTGCGCTTGTCAGCGCTGGCTGCGACTCCCACTTCACACACCTGCGCCCCCTCAGCTCCCCAGCGCTCAGAGTACAGGGCATGCGAGGCCCGCTCAGGCGCCACACCGCCTCTTCCCCCTCCTCGCGTGTCCATGCCCGCATCGTCGGCGCACTGCCTAGTCGTCCTATCTATCTGGCGGCTCGCGCGAGCTCTGAGCCAAATGGGAGCGTTGCACTGAGCCTTGCATGCACACTGACACTAGGGTGCTAGCCAAGGGCTGACGAGCACGGACCACAAATAGGACAGAAAAGAGTTGCCAAACTGATGCACTCGCACTCCCACTGTGTTTGCACTACTTCTTGATTAAATTGTACCTCACTTTCTTCGTGCTTCTCGCACAGGAGCACATCTATTAGCCGATGTATTAGGCGACTCTACACGCGAACTAGAACAACCAGTCTCTCAACGTCATGGGGGGTGTACCCCTGAGTAAAGCCTGCGAGATAAACCTCACTCTCTCAAGTACCAGTCTACCCCGGGGACAGCTAGCACTAGAAAGCTTACACAAACTGCAGAACCCAACATCGCCTCGAGGATATCGAATCATTTACAACTACCATACCTAAGCAGAGGTTATTGACTAAGGATACCATCACTATACTTACTACGTAAAGAACAATCCTCAAACTACGGACCTCAGTTACTTGTGTGTGTTGTGTTTTTTTGAGACGTGGTCTTCGCGCTCTGTCATTCCAGCGAGTGGCATGGCTCACTGCGCAGCTTGAGCCCCGGGGTTCCAGTGTGATCTCATGCCATCACGTCCTGAGTACGGGACATAGTGTTCACTGTGCCAGCAACCGCTACTACCTACCCAACCTCCCTCCGTCTCACACTCGCCGCTATCACACCTCCATTCGGCTCACCCTCCGCTCCCCCCCTCCGGCCCGCTCCCCTCTCCTTTCTCCACCTTCCAACCTCGCCCGGTTGACGCCATCCTCGACAACTCCTCGATACACTCCGCCCCCCTCGAGTCACTCACTCACTCACCCCTCCTCCACATAACCCTCTAACCACCTCCGCACTACCCACCACCACGACCACGCCCTCTCCAACTGCCACGCCACTCGACCCACTCAACACCTTTTCACATTGCACACTTCGCTGACCCCACCAGCGAGAACTATTCCATATACCCACAGACGCACACTTCACAACATCTACCGACCGGAAGTACTGACTTGCCACGAAGCACACGCGATCAACCTTCACTGACACAACACAACTACTCGCACTTTATACGCGCACTCGAATGACATACATCCCTTCTAATTTGAACCATTTTCACTCACACACAAGATATCTGATAATACACACACACACACTACACTCTTTCTGACATGAATGAGATACACCCATACGATCTCTCACCACAATCCCTGTTACTACATGATTATGTATTCTCTGGCACGCACACTATCAACCGCAAAAGCACATAATATCATTAAGAGCCAGATAGTTAGGTACGTACCTTTACATGTACTAGTTATTTAACTCTCTATGCACGTAGATATTAAACCTCATTTTAGAGAGAGAGAGCGTGACGCACTGCAGTAACCTTGTCAACACAAATAGCCAGTGTAACATTATCTGCCCATTTAGCTTAACCAGCTATACCCCGCAGCACTGAGTCTAGTTTCCTTATCCCTCACAACTTACTGAGGTTTCTCCAAGATTACCACCGACTTCCAGCAGACTTTCGCCTCTCACACCCATGGCGTTTAAGCTGTCAAAGGATCCTATCTACATTATTCATCCCTTCATAATATACCCAACCTAAACTCGAGCAAATAGAAACTTTCATGATTTTTTGTTTTTTTTGAGACAGAGTCCACTTTGCGTTTGACCAGCTAGAGGAAGTGCCTGGCGTCAGCCTACTCACAGCACCTCAAACTCGGCTCAAGCGAGTCTCCTGCTCACCTCCCGAGTGCATTGGACTACAACATGAGTGCCACCATTGCCGCACACATTTTCACTCATAAATACACTCCACTACTCATTGGCATGAATTTTTTCTATTTATAGTTGAGACGGTCTTGCCCTTGCTCAGGCTCGTTCGAACTCCTGCTTGAGCAACTCCTGCCCCGCCTCCCTGCTAATTACAGGCGTGAGCCACCCGCGCTCGGCTGAATCTTTCGATCTTGTTAAGTGTGTCTACCAGCAACAACATTTGCATCGAAAACAACTGCGTTCTACAATCCTTTTTTCTTCACTGGTGAGACCCTATATAGCGATAGACCGCAACTTCAGGTCCTGAACGTACTTTCTTGATGGAAAAGGACCTACGCGGAATCGCAGCAGAACAAGGGGTATATCATTGCTCCAACTTTCTCTTTTTTTTTAAAGCCAGTCACCCATAGCAGTGGGGCGTTGAATTATCCACCAACAAACTTTTACTCACGACTTTGAAACCCACTTTACACTCACAGAACGCATTATACCCAAGAACAGGACCACGCCCACCGGCACATTTAAACCGTTTTGCAATCAAAGCAAATATTCTTTTATACACCCAGCTTAACGTGACTAATGTGAAATTGACTAATAATGCCACACAAAGAACATATAAATGAAAAGTTTTTCTCTCTGTCTGGAAGAAAATTCTCTAGAAACTGTGTTTTGGCTTAACACAGTTTTTTCCTGCACTGTTTCATTAGTCGAATCCACATAAAGACAATTTTGGCTAGAAATCTGCCCCGGTGACTAGGTCTCCTGACTTCACCACTACTCCTTCTACTACTTCTGCAAC